TGCTGGAGCACAAACTGAGCACATTTCCTCACTCTGCTGTTGTCTTTAGTCTCTCTTCTCTACATTTTTGTTTTTATTCCATCAATAACAGGTTTTCTTTGTCTCTCTTCCTGAGGAAAATACACCTGGACCAGTTCTTCTTTGTTTACCTGTGCCTCTTTCCTGTCCTGAGCCTGGTTCTGCTGGAGGTTTCTTCCTGATTAGCAGGGAGTTTTTCCTCTCCACTGCTGCCGGGGTGCTGCTCAGGATGGGCGACTGTGACATAGCAAAGATTCAGCACGGCTTCTTTACATTTGTTTATTTTTTATTTTTCTTCATGTACAGTGCCCTTCGACAACAGTTGTTGTGACTTGGCGCTATATAAATAAACCGAATTGAAACTGAATTGTATTTCTAATTTTCTTACAGTTGAACCACCTGTGTTTAACACATCCATCAAGCAGCTTCTTCAAAAGAAGAAAAGCAGAATGGGATTTAATTGAACAGATTTATAAAAAAAAATTGTTGAGGAAAACATGTAGGCAACAGAAGAAGAGACAACTTTTCTGCTGAACCATCTACCACCATTTAGTATCACATTAGTTTCTAATTATACTCCAGGCTAAAGATAAATGTAAAGCTCGAGCACACAAAAAGAGAAGAGAGAAAAGAGAGAAAGAACCACATCTGCTCTGTTTCAGACCGATAATAACTTTCCTTATATTTTGAGAGCTGCCTCCAGGGAAGCCCTGAGGGGAGTGAAGTGGGAAAATTAATTACTGAAGGTTAAATCTGAGCACAATGCCAGTTTGCTGGTTATGTTCTACATTTTCTTTTAAATTTGCATAAAAGAGGAAGGAGTCGGAACAGATCACATGCATCCTCCTGACGCTTACCCTTGAAAACATCTGCTTAAGTGTTTTACTTTAATACCTGCTGGGAGTCAGTTCAGTTTGAACAGCAGCGTTTAAATGATTTATGAAACAAAACGTTTTGACAGGAAAAATGATCCAGAAATCCACAACATGGAGCTGAAAAGATTTGTTTTGTTTCCACCGATCAGCAGGTGAAACAGATGCTGCGATGCTTCCAGTTTGAAGTTTAAAAGTATGTTTATAGTAACTCAGTACATTTACTTCATTATAGTACTTAAGAAATTTTTTGTGAATTTGTAATTTTACCACGTATTTTTTTAAATCGTTACTTTTATTTTGTTACATTTTAAAACATAAAAATGATACTTTTACTTCTTTAAAATGCAACCTAATACTCGCTACAAAATTTAATGTGTCTGAACTCATCGTGACGTGTTTCTGCACTGTAAAAAGTGAAGGGTTGAATTTACTCAACCAAGCGGTTCCACTAAATATTATACAATTTATTTTATTTAAAAGAAAATATTGCTCATTTTACTCAGCTTGGTTTCGTGGAACCAGTTTGGTTTAGTAAATTCAACAGTTTATTTCTTAGAGAGTGTTTTGGGAACAGTTTTATGACTTTTACTGAAGTATTTTTCTCAAGTAGTTTTCTGTTCAGGTATTTTTACTTAGTTATTTTTTCAAGTAGACCTCTAGTTTGCAGAAAGTTTTCTGCAGCTGAAACTACTGATGTTTACTTATAGGAAATCCTGTTAAGAAATTTAAAAAATAATGAAGAGTGCAAACTGGAGGTGAGTTTCATCTTCTCAAATATTCAACAGTTTTTCTCTTGAGGGATTTTTAAGCTGATGGTGTGACTTCACTGCAGAGGTTTGTGTGTGAAACAAACTTCAGCCTTATCAATATTGGCTACATGTACAAATGACCACCGAGTTTATTTCATTGTTTCTGCTTCCAGCAGATGGGTTTTTTTTAACAAGTTGTGTTTAATTATTGCACCAAACAGGCGCACTGCTCCATTCTTAAACAAACCATTTGTTCTGAGTTGAAACGTTCATCACTTCCTGCCTTCGTCTCTCCTGATGGGATTTTATTCTTCATCCATTTATTATTTATAACACAAAGGACTTCATCAATGAGCTTTTACTGACTGAAACACTGAGGCTAATGTGAAAAAAGGGAAACATAAAATGTTACACCTGTGTGAGTTTAAACTCACCTGAACTCCTTGTAACTTATTTTAACAAAAAACAGAAGCACACAAAAAATAAACAAACAAAAAACCAGGATTTCATACATACATACATA